GCCCACTGCACTCTAACTGACTATGAACTGTCTGCCCACCCAAACGAGAGGTAGAACTGAGAGGGCACAAGTGCTTGCCTTCATGAGGAAAGAAGCCATCTTTCACTGGAACTGTTTTACCTGGAGTGATGTTTTACACTAAATACAGCTTTGACCAGGCTTTGTCTGTTTTCCCAACCTGCAATTATGAGCAAGTTTCTAAGCTTTGGTGTTTCACCCTCATGAAACAGTGATGGCTTCAGCTCACAATGAGTCAGTTTGTTAGAAGAGCCACACGCTGGGACTGGAAATAACTCAGCTTCTGTAGAATGGTTGCAGCAACTGGAAGAGAGCTCAGTCACCTCATGTTAAACAGGTTCTGCTTCAAAACTGAGTCTTTTGCCCAGTGCCTGTTTTCATCTAATGCCAGTCAAGGGTGGACTTTATGGTCAACCAATGTTTTAGTCGCACAAATACTAAAGCAGCCTTCAGGATGACTGGACCAGCATGCTCTTCAGCAGCCCTCTGAACACAACTGCTAACCAGACTTACTACTCCTAGTTTACTTAGGTGCTGTGTGATCCACCAGCAAGTGGAACATGATGGGTTGTTGGTTTTTTTTTAAATACGAAAAGAAGAAATCAAACCACCAGAAAGCAAAGCCTCAAGCATTGGCAGGAGCCAGAGAAAATATAATGAAGCACTAGCCTAAACTCTGGGGGACTAATAAAAACTGACAGTCTTAAGAAGCAATGAAAACCCTAATATCACTGTATTTGCTGGAATATGAGGACTGTCCTGGACAAAATTCTTTTCTTGAGCAGAACTGTATGAAAGTGGCTGCTCAGATCCAAGAACTGACCCAGCTGGATCAGTTGACCTTAAACAGCAGGGAGGAGGAAGGAAAGGCAGGATAAAAAGAGCGTTCCTTTCTTTGAAGCAGCTGAACTCAACAGCCTAAAGAAAAGCTCCAAACTCCTCACAGTTCAAACAGAAAGCAAACCTCCAATGCTACAACAAGCAGCACACAGAATATCTGTCATGCAGAGCTTAATTTCAGATGTGCAGATGTGGAACCTGGGCACTGGCTGTGAGTTGAGCGGTTCCAGGAATATGGAATGAGAATGAGGAAAATTGTGTGCTGACTTAGTGCCCTTGCATCGACCAACTGTATGCAAAAATCTATGTGATACAGTTATTGGAACAATAAAACCTGAATATTGCTGAAGTCAGCAGGTTCAGCACCAGAGAGTTTCAGCAAATGGACAGCATTTGTGCTGGCGTTGTTTTTAAATGGAGCCTCCTTGTGAAAAGTCACCGATTTAGTCTATACAGCAATATTAGCTCATGGGAGAAGGTCCCGGTAGGCTTCAGGAACACTGATTAAATCAGCAAACTGGGAAACACTTTCCCTAACTCAATAAATTTGAGTAATGCCATTTCCTCACTCTGCACAGTGAAGACTGAGAGTCCTACTATTTAGATAAACAGCACCCCTCTGTGGCTACAAACAGCATTCGGGCCATCACAGCAGTGCCACCTGGCCTTAAAATTTCTGGTATTTCCTGAAACCTGGAAAAAAAAGAAATCTCAACTGTAGCAGTAGCATTTTGCTTTAAGAAGTTGTACATTGGCAAAATTAACACTACTTTCCCTGGTGCCAGTCTAATACAGCTATTGTTCCTCAACAGATCAATGCACAAAAACTCCTAAGCCAAGAGGAACTGGCCAGTTTGTGCAGTTCAGTGGTTAAAGTCAACACATCGGAGCACACTCTTAGTCAGACCAGGCTTTTACTTCTCTTCAAGTGTAATATCACAACATGCCAGACACACCTAGTGCAATCAAACTATTTATTTCTTCTATTTTAATATTTCTTTCACCAAAATATCTACAAATGAACCACTTCTCTTTCTTTCTCCTTCTACGCACTTTCAGTATCTCTTCCGGCTGACCTAACCAAATTATTTCCCCAGTATCGAACCCTTTCAACCTGTGATGTTCTGTACATGCTCAAGACACTCAGCTCCTCCAAGTTGCACAGAACTTTTTTACAATTCGTTTCTACAACCCTACTTGAGGAATTTATGCAGTTATTTTGTAT